GCTGAATTGCTGCATTTCTCTCCATATACGTCTGTGACGCCCACGTTGAGTAAGCTTAGCCTTCGGCTGTGCGTGTGTCGTGTGGGTCGTGTGGGGTCGTTTGTGTCGTGTATATGTGCGTGTGTCGTGCGTCGTGTGTCGTTTGTGCGTCGTGGGTGTGTCGTGGTCGGTGTTTACCGGTTGTATGAAATTTGATTGGGTGTCCTGTTGCATGTGGCTGAAGATGTTGGTCCGGTTTCCTGGGTAGACGAAGGTCTTGCCGGCCAGCACCAACGAGATCTGGTTCATGAGCTTCTCCTGGATGTTGGGCAGCGTCGACGGACTGTGCGCCGCAAGCTCCGTGAGCGCCTCCGTGAGCTCCGGGCTCAGGCCGCTCTTGAACATCAGGTCTGGTTGTTGCCGATCTCCTCTTAGTGTCTTGTTCACACACGACACACACGACACACACCACCGCACGCGCACACGATTGCGTACCAAGGATTTCGGGCATGTCCTGCTGGACGGCCGCGCCGAGGGCGGAGCTGACCATGCTCCAGCAGGTGAGCGACTGGAGGCAGTAGCCCCGATTGCGCACATCGAGGGCGTTCTTGATGAGGGCGGTGAGCTGCGGCCGGTAGGGCTCGATCCCGGGTCCCACCGAGTGGGCGATCTGGCCCAGCACCAGGAAGGCGCTCGCCCGCTCCTCGCTCTTCCCGTCCTTCTTCAGCACGCCCAACAGCGCTTGCATGCACACGTCCAGGTACTTGGCCGCGAACTGCGACCGCAATATAAATAAATAATAAGAATAAAATAAGAATAATAAAGCTAAATGATTACATAAATAAAAACTTGCTAAATATTGTTAAAGAAGCTCTAGACGGATTGGTGCGTACCTCCTCGGGGGCGAAGGCGGCCAGACGGGGGAGGAGGTTGATGACAGTGCGCCGGATGATGCGCTCCTTGTGGTCGCGGTACTTGAGGATGGTGTCGCACACGTCCTTGAACCGCGAGTTCATGGACATGAAATTGCCCGTGTTGAGCAACAGCTCTCCTGTTGCGTTCGAACACGCGCTACGCATTAGCACACGACACACACATGACACGACACGACACGACACGACACGACACGACACGACACGACACGACACGCACGACACGATCACACTTACCCAAGGTGATGAGCGAGCCATGGATGGTAGGGCCTGTGTTCTGGCGCAGCCCCTTTTGGGCCTCCTCGTATATCTTGTGGTACCACTGCGTGCGGAGTCGGTTTTCGCGCTCGGAGATGAGGGCCAGCGCGGCGTGCAGCGCATCGACCGCGCCCTCCCGGATCGAGACGTTGTTGTCATGCAGCGCCGACCTGTCAACATGTGTTAGCACAACACGACACGCACTACATGACACACACGACACGACACGACACACACCGCACACGCGAAGCAAGGTACCAGACGAGGTCGAAGAAGGACGACACGTGCACGTAGAAGCGGGTGGGCGAGTTTACGGCGAGCTCCTTGAGCACCAGCACCGCGGCGTAGCGCCGCGATTCGTGTTTGCCCTGCAGCCAGTCGAGAGCGCGCTTGACCTCCTGCTGCACCAACTCCGCCGTCAGGGTGCCGCTGGCCTGGGCCAGCCGACCTGCGCACATGATTGGGGGGGGGGCGTAGAAGAGGCTGTGTCAGCTATCGGCGCGTGTGTCATGAGTGCCGTGCGTGCGTGCGTGCGTGCGTGTACCGAGAGCATTCGCGGCCATCTTCATGGCGCCGGGGTCGTTGGTTTGGAGTCCCTCTTGCAGGTAATCGGCCAAGCGCATCCTGTGTGCGTTGTCGTCGTGCTCGATGTTTATGAGTTCGGCTGTGTTGTGTGCGTACGCGCATTAGAAACCGGTCCAGAGAGAGAGAGAGAGAGAGAGAAGAGGTACCGACGGCCATGATGCCTCCGATTCGCTCGTGCACGAGTTGACTGTGCGCTAGCTCAGCGATGTGATTGTTGGTGAGGTCATTCATGAAGCGTGCGAAGAGTTCGCTTGACATCTCCCGCGATTGTGCCATCACCTACACGAAACCGCACAACACCACACACGACACACAACACGACACGACACTCGAGATCAGGATGCATAACCACAAGCAAATGCAACACTGCAGCGTAAAGAGTGTAAGCGACAAAGGAGAAGCGCGTACGTAGGTCTTCAGCTTCTGGGCTGCCTTGGTCCGCACATCAGGATTTCTGGGCCACGAGTGGAAGAGAGGGGCGTCAGGTGTGTTCTTGCAAGTGATTCGAGCAGGGTACTTGTTCTTAAGTTCAAAAAGCAGCTTGTTGAGAACCAGATCAATCCAGGGCTGGTCTCCTTCTCCGCCTGCGCCCCCGCCTCCCTTCTTCGATTTGTCGGCCATTCCGGTGGCAAAATCGAATCCAGACCCTCAAGTCGCCCTCGCTCCTTCCCCAATCTATCTATCACCTCCTCTATCCGCTACCCACCGCTCTACACCAAGTTTCGTTTCTGATCGAACAATCAACGCAAAGACAAATCGGTTCTGGATTTGTGTAGTGGGCGGCCCAAAATATTTGTGGAATGTCAGCCTAAAAGAAGTGTGGAATGCTCACAGTGCGTGGTCGTTCAGTCAGAGCCCTCGTCGCTGACATCTTCGTCGTCATCGTCAAAGTTGAAGCCTGAGCTGACGTTGAACGAGGACTCATCGTCGTCACTGTCGTCGTCAAAGTCCATTTCCCCTTCGTCGGCCTCGGCCTCCTTTGCCTTTTCCTTCTTCTTGGCGTCGCTGGTGGCCTGCTTGGCGGCCTTCTTCTTCTTGGCCTTCTCGATCTTCTTCTTCTTTCGCAGCGACCGCTTCTGCTTCTTGAGGATGTACTCCTCCCAGTCTCGCTTCAGGTGCTTGTAGAGCATCAACGCCGCCCGGGCATCGATGGCCGGGTCGTGGGCTCCCTCGGCCTTGTCCTGTTCACCACATACGACAGACACGGTCATATCGCGCTCGGCCACCGCACACACCGCACACACCGCACACATACCGCACACACACCGCACACACACCGCACACACCGCACACACACCGCAGTAGTACCTGGATGCTGATTTTCAAAATCTTGTTGACGAGATACTTCAGCTGTCTGGGCTTACCCCTGGAACGCTGCAGTGGGCGATACATCGCCGTGTCTCTCAAATGGGAGAACGGGTGGCTGAGCAGCAACGCCTACCCGACCAACACGGGGAAGGAATAGTGAATAGTAAGACTTCTGATCGAGTGCGTGTCGTGCGTGTCGTGTGACAGTGACACACGACAGAGAGAGACAAAAACGTAGGTGCACGCTTACCTTGAAATCGTTCTTCAAACCGTGACCGACGACGATCTTGTCTTTGATCAGCTCAGCGACTTCCTGCTGGATCTGCGCAAATGGAAACGCTGCGTACAGGGATAGTCTCTGGTCAGCACTCCTGTGTGCACATCTGCACTTTGCGCTGAAAAGAAGAAGAAGAAGAAGAGGTAGTGCACGAACCGTTTGATCCGGTCAGGTCCGACTTCTTAACGCCGGACACCCACGTCCTGTAATCGACAACTTTCTCCCTGTGTGGTGTGTGTGGTTAGCTCAGAAGTCCACAGTTAGGGCCTGCAACGACAACTGCCAGCGATAAAGGCCTTCACGCCTCAACATAAAGGAGTTGAGTTTTCTGGTTTTACCTGGGCTTGACGAACTTGTCGTAGATCACGTTGCCAAAGGAGTTGATGATGCACACGCGTGCGAGCATGCTCTCCTTCCCGTCGATGCCCACACCCACCATCTCGCAATCGAGCGCAATCAGCTTGGTGACGCTGCGATGATTGATGAACAGTTGAACAAACAGGTAAGAGAAGTCCGGCGGGTGGCAACATGCAAGCATGCACGGTGCGGAAGAAGGAAAGCAAGTGTGCCTCTTGTCGTCCTTGATGGGAGGTGGCATCGGCTTCAGAGGTGCCTTGCCCTTTTTCTTCGGGCTGCTCTCGGAGCCCTCTTCATCTCCCGTTTGCTTCTTCTTTTTGGGCAGCGCTTTCTGGTTTTTTTGCATAAAAATCACATCAAGATTAAATCAAGAAGGTTTAAACTGGAAAATCATCAAAGGGCCATGGCTTGCTCGTTGGCGAAATTGAAAGAGAGGAAGCTTGTACCTGCAACGCCTTCCAATTTGAAGAGATTGGAGCCGCAGCCTCTACGCGCGGTTTCTTGAGTGGGGGCTGGCTCTCCTTCTTCTCCTTTTTCGTCTGAGTAGAAGTCACGGTCGTGGTGGTTGCAACCTCCGTGGTGGCGACCGTGGTGGTGCTGGCAGCCGTGGCCTTCATCTCCACCAACTTATTAATCTCATCTTTAATCGATATTGTTGTCTTCTTGGCCGGCGCATTCTCCTTCTTCGTCTGTGTTTGCGGTATTACCAGCTTCTTTGGTGAAGCTGCTGCCGTCGGCGATCGCTTGGCACCCGCGCCTCCTTTGTTGGGTCCGGACCTCTTCCGCTTGTTGCCTCCCGCTCTGCTCATCTTGTGGTTGTGAAAAGTACGAATTGTGCTTTTGATTTTTAAAAATGGTTTCCGAAATGTTTGGGAAACACGAAAACGGGGCAGAAGATTAGATCTGCATATCTTGGCCGCATCATCAAGCGAACAGTTTGTCGCCCGCCGACGTGTGACCACGTCGAAAGTGGACGCGATCACATAGAACCTGCTGGTGGTGTGGGCTTGTGGAGTCCTCCCTCACCATCTTAATTTAGAGATCCAATAGAATCCTGCCACACTTCGTCTGGCATATCGATGATGACTGCTGAGGATGAGCTTTTGGGCTGTGGATCACGACAACTCTTTCAACCCACTTCGCCCAACAGACGAACGAGCACTGGAGAAGGCGAGCACGACGATGCTGAATTCAATGCGAGTCTGCCTCCAGAGATCGTCTTCCACATCTTCAGCTTCCTACCCGCAGATGAGATACGCAAAACCGTGCCTCTGGTGTGCCACACGTGGAAGGCGCTTGCAGGTACTACTTGACCGACATCCTTCTTCTACTCCAGCTCACCATCATCCATCATCCACCAACCCACCTCCCCCTCCCCAGGAGATGAGATGTTGTGGAAGTGCCTGCTCCAGCGCGAGTTCAGGCTGACCTTCTCCGAGGAGGTGGTTCGCCACATGGACGTGAGGTACGAGCGGCCTCTTGTTCTACTCTTCTTCTTCTTCTTCTGTTATGACTTCTTCTCATTCCTCGTCTTGGTGACCACGCAGGTGGTCGGCCTACTACTACGCACTGTTGGAGAAACGGACCGACTTCGACGCCAGTTACAACGTACAGCTCACCTTCTCTTGCGTGTGCGCGTGCGTCTCCGTGTCTGACGTTTGTGTGCCATATGCGGTGTGTTGTGCGTGTGTCGTGTCGTGTCGTGCGTGTGTCGTGTTGTGTTGTGTCGTGCGTTTGTGATAATGTGTCATGAAGGACCCCGACAAGAAGATACTGGGCTGCCAGCACTACCAGCGCAACGTCAAGATCCTGGCCGAGTGCTGCCAGCGATTCTTCGTGTGTCGCCACTGCCACAACGTCGAGAAGGACCACCAAATCAACCGCTACGCGACCAAGACCATGGTAACCACCACCACCACTTCCACCGTGTGCGTGTGCGCGCACGGCCAAACCAACAAAAAGAGCTCACGCAAGTGTGTTGTGTGCGTGTGCGCACACGTGTGCGTTGGTGGTGGTCGTACAGTATTGTATGGTGTGCCGAACGGTACAGGCCAAGGGTCCGGCGTGCCTGTCGCCGGTGTGTCAAGGGAAGCATCTGGCCCTCTACTACTGCAGTGTGTGCAACTTCTGGGACAACACGCCCGGCAAGAGCATCTTCCACTGCCCTGTACGCCACTCAACCCTTTTTCCACATCACCATCGCACACGTGTGCGGTGGTGCGTGTGCGTGTGCGGTGCTCAATTGACACGCGTGGCGCTGTGCGCAGGACTGCAATGTGTGCTACCTCGGGCGAGGGCTCGGGGTCGACTACTACCACTGCACGGTTCGAGCCCCAACCTCTGTGTTGCACCACTCTTTGCTCTTTGCTCTTTTGTTGTTGCGCAGCTGCTCACCCGCGCGCTCCCTCCGTGCAGGAGTGCAACATGTGCTTCGACAAGCGATACCAGGCATCGCACAAGCACATAACACACAAGAAGATGGTGGAGGTGGTGCCGCCCGTCGATGAAGAAGAAGCCGAAGGCTAGCTCCTTGTCCAAAACAGCTGGAAAATACATCAAGTAAATAGAAAACAATTATTTTAGTAAATTGAATCAAAAGGATTGAAGATGAGGAGGTCAGTGTCGCATGGGTATGGTTTGGCTTTGCGGCCGGCGCAGGGAGGGCGGCCACAGATGATGCTGATGAGCAGCGCCGGCACGAACCACGCGCGGCAGTGGTGCACCACGATGTTCGGCAGCGCACGACACGCGAGGCACCTCGCCACGAGCGCCGAACCGCCCTCCGCCGGCGAGTTCGCAAAGGCGGCCGAAGAAACGCTCGAAGATCTGCAAGATCGACTCGAGGAGGCTGGCCTCGACGAAGATCTCGACATCTCCTACTCAGTACTTCCTCCATCTTTTTTGTGATTAATCCACTTCTTCATCCTCATTAGCTCTGCAGGATGGAGTGCTGACGATCCGGCTGGGTGACAAAGGCACATACGTGATCAACAAGCAGACCCCGAACCGCCAGCTCTGGTTCTCTTCTCCCATCAGGTACCTCCCATACCGCACCTCTTCTTTTTCCTTGTGTAGTCGACCATCCATGGTTGATGATGCTGCTGCTGCTGCTCTCCAGCGGGCCGAAGCGGTTCGACTACGTGGCCACCGAGGGCAAGTGGCTCGACACGAGGGAGCGTGAGCCCCTCCACCAACTCCTCTACGCCGAACTCGAACAGCTCACTGGCGTGTCCCTTTCGTGACGCAACTGTGTGCGTGTGCCATGCATCGTGTCGCGTGTCGTGCCATGTGGACTACCAACAATGATGACATAAGATGATGATGACTATATTCTCTGTACACTCTAATTGCTCGTGCCACTCTCCTTGGCCTCCATCGGCGCAGCTCTGGGCTCTGGGCTCGCAGTGCTGGCGGCCGCGGCGGCGGGGAAGATGATGGGCGGGAGCAGGTGGTTGAGCGGGGCCAGATACGACAGAATCGAGGCCGGCGGCGGCAGCCGCTGCGCACCCATCATCGCGGCGGACGACATCAGCGGCGACAAGCTGGCGATGGGCGCCGTCGCGGTCTTAGCAGGCCTGCTGCGGTCGCTCTTGTCGTCATCGCCGGCTCCGACCGACAAGGCCCGCTTCTTTCGCTTCTTGAGAGCCGGCTGGGTTCCAGCGCCGCTAGGGAGGTCCCCGACGTCCGGCGTCTCGCGGTGGTCGGCGCCCTCGATGTCGGCGCCACCGCCGCCGCTGCCGCTGCGCCGCTTGGGCGGACGACCGAATCCCGGCCTCGGCTTGCGCATCTTCAGCCCCTCAAACTCCTGCACCTCCGCCTGCACCACAAAACGAGATGACGTCAGCACACGACACACGCACGACACGACACGACACGACACGACACGCACGACACGCGCACAAGACGCGTACGTACCTCGGAGAGGAGTCCCTTGCGCCAGCGCTGCTTCTGTTCGTAGACCCAGTTGGCGAGGCGCTTGTTCTTGGGCCACTGGTGCTGCACGTTGCCGTGCCCGAATTCGGCGAAGAACTGGTGGAGCTGGGCCATGCGCCGCCGCCGCCGCTGTTCCTTGGTCAGCTTCTTCCACTCCTCCTCCGTCTCGATCTCATAGAGCAGCCCCGATTCCCGCTCCTCCTCTTCCTGCTCCTCCCGCATCGTCGCGCCGGCCTTGACCTCGTCCACACCGGGGCCGCTTTCGCCGTCGTTGCATTCCTCATTGTCGTCGTTGTCGTCGTCGTCGTCGCTGCTGTCGGCGTCGGCGTCGGCGTCGGCGTCGTCATCGGCGATCTCGAGCGAGTCGTGCTGCTCGTCGTCGTTGTTGCTGTCGCCGACCTGCGCGTGGTTGGCACGACGGTCGTCAACATCTTCGGCTTCGGCTTCCGACTCTGACGAGCCGACCACTGCGGCGTCGCTGCCGCGCTCGCCTGCCAGCTCGGCCGCGGTCATGGTGGTCGGGATCACCCGGTCGGTGGTGACGTCAGCTTTGCTGCCCAGCTCGACAGCGGCGGCGGCCGACAGCGGAGGCAGGGCGCGGTGTTGCCACTCGCCGCGCCTGTGCGGCTGCTCCTCAACGTCGCTGCTGACATCAGCGCCCGAGTGCCGGCTGGGGAGAGGCGAGGCCTGGACGACGTCGTCGCCGCTGCCTCCGCTGCCGCTGCCCAGCTTGGCAGTGTCGGCACGGTCGAGCTCGCGCTTGTCCCGGATGCCGTAGAAGCGGCCGTCCTTGATGATGCCGATCGTGGTCAGGTCCCCGATCTGCTTCTCCGTCAGTCGGCCGCTGCGCCACCTCAGTTTCACTGTAGTCGTCGCAGGTTGTGTGTGTGAGTGATGTGATGTGAGCAGCACACGTGTGCGGCGTGTGTCGTGTCGGTGGCGGTGGCGGTGGTGTGTGTCACAGTACTGTATTCGAGCCAGCGCTTGAGGCTCTTGCTCCACCTCCGCGGCACACACCAGGTGCCCTCCTGCTCCTCCAGCTGCTGAAGCTCCCGAATGCGCATCGCCCACCTCCTGCGACCACGAAAATAAATAATAACAACAGAATCAGCACAACCGCACACACGACACGACACGACACGACACGACACGACACGACCACACGAGAGGAGGGATGAGGACTCGTACTCTTCGTCGGTGCCGCCAAAGGCCCGCCTTCGGTACTCCTCGAGGCCCTCTTCGGATGTGTTCCTGCGCTGCGCGGCGTCTAGGTCCGCTGCCGACCCGCTGCTCGCGCTCCGCTCCCTTCGCCGCCGCCGCTTGCGCGTGGACGCCGCCGCCGCACGCGACGGCGACGCCTCGGCCTCGCCGTCGTCGGCATCGGACGAGTCGTCGTCTTCGCGCTCGTCCCACTCCTCCCCGTCAGAGCTGCTGACGTGTCCTCGTTGTTGGAATTCGTCGACACATTCCTCGGCACGATCGGGTGTGAGCCGGCGGCGCTTGCTGGGCGAGCCGGCGGTGGACGAGGCCTCGATCGGACCGAGCGCCGCCGCCGCCGCCGCCGACGAAGACGCCGACGAGCGCGGCAGGACGGCGATGTCGGCCCAGCGCTTGCCGGTGTGGGCCTCGAACTCCTCGCGCGTGACCAGGCCCAGGGCGACCAGGTCGCGCTGCTTGTCCAGGCTCCACTCGCGCCACTTCCGCTTGGCCCCGTAGGCCCAGTAGTACAGCTGCGAGTTGACGCTCCGCGGCACCTGGCGATGATGATGATAATGATTGTGTGTGTGTGTGTGTGTGTGTGTGTCAATGGCAACAGTCTGGGGAAGAGAGGCGTAGTTCGGTGGTTTCGCGTACGTTGAAGTGGCCGTGTCTGTTCAAGAAGTCGTACATCTGCTGTAGACGCTGGTGCCACCGCTGTTCATCCTTCACGCTCCTCGTCATCGCTCTAACGCAACAACACGACACGTCATAAAAAGTGAGTCGCGGTGAAGGTCCATGATTGGTTGACGTGAGAGTGGTTAACGCACAGCTCGGAGTCGCGCTCGTCGCCGATGTCGGGGCTGCGGGTGAGGGGCTCCTCGCCGTCGCTGCGCTCGTCGCGCAGCCCGGCCGTAGCAGCGATATCGGCGTCGTAGCGCTGGACCAGCAGCTCGTTGAAGCTGCTCACGCGCCCGCGCTTGATCCGCCTCTCGTGGCCCCCGCCAGCGCCAGCGTCGCTGTCGTCGACAACAATGGCCGGCAGTCGCTCGGTCTCGGCCGACTTGCGCTTCAGGTCGGATCTCGCCGCCGCGGCGGTGTCGGCCGTCGGGCCACGCTGCTGCTCGTACTCGTCCCAGCTGAGCAGCCCGAGCGCGACCAAGTCCTTCAGCTTCCGGTCCACGCCCGCGTCACTGCCGCCGCCGCCGCCGCCGCCACTGTTATTGATCGCCGGCTTGGGCGTCGGCTCGGGCTTGATCGCGGTCGGGATTCGAACCGGCGATCGGGTCGGGCTGGTGGTCGTCGTGCTGCCGTTACTGTTGGTGTTGGTGTGGCCGAACACCTCCTTCTCGTACTCCTCTTCGCCGATGAGGCCCAGGTGCATGAGCCCGCTGGCCGCCGCGCTGGCCGGCTTTGGAATGATCCGCTGCTGCTGCTGCTCGGTGGTGTTGATGGTCCGGATGACGGTCGGGGCCGGGGCCAGGCCTCGGGAACTGTTTCGCTCCAGCGGAAGAATGCGCGGATCGTCGAGCGACGACGGCGCTCGGAATGCGGGGAATGAAGGTGATGGCGCGCCGGGGGCTGGGGCGCGGGTCTGGGCCGGCGAGGGGAGGACCGGGCGGGGCAGCTGTGGGGTCGGCTGAGCGCTGCTGCTGCCGCCGGGGGTGATCTGGCGCTGGGCCGCCGCCGCAGGGCTAAACTCGGAGACGCCCTGCTTGGCGAGCCGCTCGGCCTCGTACTCCTCGGCGCTGATGAGCCCGATGTGGACCAGGTCCCGCTGGCGCTTGTCCTTGTACTTGCGCCACTTCTTCTTGGCCCCGTAGGCCCAGTAGTACAGGGCCGACTGCGAGTTCTTGGGGATCTGTCGCCACACAAACAGATATAATAAAAATATAAATACATTAAATACATTAAATAAGAAGCCGTGGTTGGGTGTTGCGTACCTTGAGGTGCCCGTGCACGCGCTTGAATTCAGAGATCTGCTGAATGCGCACCTCCCACCGGTCCTCATCCGACAACCCGTTTCGTTTTCGCTCCCTGGAAACACCGCAACGTCTGTGTGAGCGCGTGACACCTGTGTCGTGTGTGTGCCGTGTGTGCCGTGTGTGTCGTGTGTGTCGTGTGTGTCGTGTGTGTCGTGTGTGTCGTGTCAGGGCCTGACCTGTGTACTTCACCGGCGCGATCGTCGCGTTCCTGGTAGGGCTCGATGCCGAGTTGTCGCAGCACGAGGGCCTTGTCCGGCGGCACGTAGCCCTCGCGGCGCGCCCACTTCTTCCGCAGGTTGTCGAGCCACCGCGCCAGCGACTCCCACCGGTCGCCGCCGCGCTTGACGTCCGCGTGGCCGAAGCGCTCGTGGAAGGCCGTGAGCTCTGCGATCCGCTTGGACCACACGCTCTCGATCGGGCCGCGCTCGCCGCCGGCCGCTATCATCGACGGACTGTACTGGCCCTCGTCACTTTCGACGTCGTCGGCGTCGGGCGGCTGTCGGGTGTCGGCGAGCTTGGCGGCCGGCGGCGGCGTCGCCGCAGCCTGTGCACCCATCGACGACCAGGCTGAGGCCGCGGCGGCCGCCGCGGCGTTGTTGACCATGTCGGCGGTGGGCTGCACCATGGAGAGGCTGGCGCCCATCTGCATGAGCTCTACCAGCTTGGCGAGGTCGAGCATCACCGGCACGCCGTTGACAATGGCCAGCGTGCTGGGGGCAACGCCGCCCCCAGGCAGCTGCGCACCACCACCCGCGACGAGCCCTGAGAAGCCGGCGGGTGACAGCTGCGGCAGCAGCGCGACCGGGGCGCGGGGCAGTGACGACGACGACGCGTCGCCAGTCGGCATGAGCGGGGGCAGGTTGAAGAAGGGGTTGGCGGCGCCGGCGGGGAGGGGCAGTGTCGGTGGGGCAGTGGCTGCAGCGGGTGCTCCGCTCATGAAACCGCCCAGCTGCCCCGTAGCGGCCTGGTGCTGGTACGACGCGGCGTCGCCCGGCCTCTGCATCTTTATGTTTTGGTGGCCGCACACAAGCACGCAAAGGTAAGCGGCGCAACCAACAACCAACACACACGAATTGCCCCCGCAAAGGGTGTTGTGTTGTGACGCGGAAAATATCACTTGGGTCGCGAATAAATGTTTACATTCGGATGTTGGGCCATTGAAAGAGGGTTCGATCAATTCGGAAGCCGCGGCGCCACCTTCCGGAAAACCTTAAAGGCTAAGCGACACGTGCTGGTGGCACATTGTTGGCACGTGAAAGTTTCCTAACCCAGATCCCGCCAAACGGCGGTTGCAAGCCGCGAAAACCGCGTTGCCGAAAGCGCCAATATGCAAAAAAATATTTAAGGTGGCGATGTTGGAGCGTTGCATAATTTAGATCCCTGAAAATCGGCGCTCGGTGATTGGTTGAAAAGTGTGTCGGCTGCGACCAATCGGCTCGCACCACTTAACAAAAAAAACCTGTCGTCCCAACCGCCAGTGGTCTGGGAGAATTATCGCCACCAGCGGCCAGTGTCGGGGCGTGAGCAACAAGCTCGGTCGCATGTGAGGGAAACACAACAACAATGGTGGGCGCACATCACAAAGGAACCTCCACACCCGATTCATCGCCATCTCGCCGGTCTGGCTCCGCGCGGCCGTGTGGCCATACATGTTCGTGGCGGTGCCCGCCATGTGGTTGTCGGTGCACACAGTCGCCTACAACAAAGAAAAAGAAGGGGGCAAAGAGGAAGAAGAAGAGGGTGGAGGAGGGGTAGATAGCGACTGACAGAAAGAACCGGCAGTCACCAAGGCGCGGGATAACTGGTGGTAGGCGACAACGTTGTGTGACCACCACCACCTAAAATCGGACATTTAAGGCTTGCGATGGTTGCTGGACTGCCCAGGGCGATCGGGGACACAACACCAACACCACCAGCAAGACAAGACGAAGAACGAGAACAAGATTCCAGGAAGAGGAGGTAAGGAGTGGTTGATGTGGGTTACCTGGTGCTGTTGGGCCGCGGCGAAGAGGTTGAGCTGGCCGGGCGCGGCCGGGATGAGGAAGGGCATGGCCATGGTCGCAGAGGACTGCTGGAGCTGCTGGCCCAGGTGTGTCGCGAGCGGAGGCAGTTGTTGTTGATGTTGGTGTTGTTGATGATGATGATGTTGGTGGTGCTGGCTCAAGGCGAGATATTCTTGATACAACCGCTGAGGCGATGAAGAAGGCGAGACTCCTTGCGGCTGAGGCCCCGTCGTTGAGGTCATCACGGCGGGCGTAGGAGATGACGATGTAGTGGTTGAAGAAGAAGAAGAAGTAGAAGATACCGTCGACGACGAGGATGATGACGCCGAAGTGACGGGCGAGTGATCGCTGGGCGGCGAGCTCGAAGGATTCGCTGTGGTTGTTGAAGAAGACGAAGACGAAGACGCAGAAGATGTCGATGCAGAAGATGGCGAAGTAGAAGAAGATGGAGAAAGCGATGTGGGTGAAGATGATGTCAATGAGTAGGGCTGTGGTTGTCTGTGTAGTGGCAGATGCGAGCTAGTACTGGTCGTGGCCATGGGCAGCCGAGCGGTCTTGGTGGTGTGGCGCGTGCGATCGTAAACGAGAAGTGACAAGAAGAAGACGACTTGATTGTGCCGAAGCCGCGGTCAAATCCTGAGCGAAGTAGAGACCGACGTCAGTCCAAACGTCAACCAAGGGGAGGAAGGAAGAAGGACTTGGCGGAAGTAGGTCCGACGTAGGGGGATTATTCAATCAACTTTTGATTGAAGAAGTAGAAGCAAATAATAAAAATATTTGACCTCGACATGTAAATATGCTGTAACAACATGTATATGTATATATCTGCGTCTATGCCAAGCAGAAGAGTTTTTAAATCATCTTCAAACAGGTTCTACAAGAAAGGAGGGTGGCCTACCGGGCTGTTGTGTTGAAGAGGGGCGGTGTGAATGAAATTGGTCTTCTTGGGTGTTGTGGCGGTATGAAGCACACAGTTCGGTCTCGGGGGCCAAGGTTGAACGTCAGTCCTGGTCTGCGGGCCTCTGTGGGGCGTGGCTTCACCTAAGTCTTATGGTTTCCTATTGCTGGGTTGGTGGTGAGGGGCAAGGGGTGTGTGCCGCCAGGCCTGTGAGGCGCAACCCTCCGCAATTGTTGGCCAATCGGCGGCGGCCGTCAAATTTCGTTAAGGCTCCGGTCAGACCCGGCCCAACAGCTAAGCATCAATGTGAGGCGGAGTTGAAGTTGACCAACCCTCCGGCGATCGCGAGTTGGTGGGCTGAGGCAACAGGTCCCCCACATGGTGTAAAACCGTGAACCCACAATGAGCACAATCCCAGATACGGAATCGCAGCCAGCACACAACCACAATGTACAATGTTGTTTTTTTGTTCTTATTCACCACAGTGCCATAGCTTGGTCAGCTTCAGGCTGCCTCCTGTGTGTGTGCAGTAGGTCCCAGGCCACAAGGAGTGAAACCCGCCCTGCTGGTCTGATCACACTGACAGGTGTTGTGTGCAACCCCAACCACCAGGCTCGATTAAGGGATCAAGAGTGCTGGAGATATTCACATGAAAAGCAGAATTTCGCTTTGATAGCCCAACCACTGCCGTCACAGATCGACCACTCTTTTTCTTTTGCCTATTCTCGTCCAAAAATAAAAGAAAATAATTTCTCCATAACATTTTGGCGGGAAGAACCGTTGCCACCAAAAAACGTGAGTTGTTGTCTTGCTTGCTGCACACATCCGGAGCTCACATTTCACACCTTTGGTCGGTTCTTCTCGAGCAAGGTCTTCATGGTACACAACCGCATGCCCGCACGGATTAAACATTCACCCATCTTTCAATTCCGGCGCTTTAGAGTGATTCTGTTTGCATTTTTCAGAGTAATCGAAGGCCCCGCCGCAAGGCGGCTCAGAGCACGCCCTTTGCCGCACCTCCGAGGTAAGTTCATCTCATTGCCATTGATCGTTCCCCCACAGTGGCGCTTCGATTTAATCAAATCCCCCCAACTTCGCAAGTAATGCGTACTACGTCGGGTATGTGGAAGAGCATGAGACGGTAGAAATGATTATGAAGAAGTTCGAAGCACTGGAACAGCTGGAGCAGGGCAAGCGACAAAAGCACCAGGAAGAGCAAGAGCAGGTACAATCACAAAGCTGGGAAGGGGACGAGCAAGCCAGCGTACTTGTGTACACGACATCACAGTACGTGGGCAATGTTGTGCCGGCACGCAGGCCGAAGCTGCGGACAGCAAGGGAAAGGGGAAGGCCAAGGACGACGATGACGAACCGGCGGCGCTTGCGCTCACTGAAGAGGAGCTCAACGAGCTGTTTAAGCAGACATCGACCTTCACCCAACAGAGCGCCCTGGCCAAGCGGGAGCAATCGCTCTATGGCGACGAAGAGGTTTGGCGCTCCGCACCTCACTTCAAACCACCACGACCACCGCCATATATGGACACGACACCGAACAACATTACCTCAGTGGCGCTATTGTTTATTGATCATTGTATAAATCGTGTGCAGGAGTCGTACATGGAGTTCTTGGACCTCGAGGGCGAGGACGGGGACGACTACTACGACGAGGCCGGCTTTTGGGATGACGATGACCCGGGCTTTGGCGAACCCGGTCGCAAAAGGAAGCGAGGCGGTGCTGGCGGCGGCGGAGGAAAGGCCAAAGCAGCGTATGTCCCTTCCCAATTTCCGTCCGCTGGTGGCTCGTACACCCGTGTCCGAAGAAAAACCGAACTGACCTGACATCGGTACGCTTTTTGCAGCGCGCGTCAAGCGAGGGTGCCTTTCGAGTCGTGCGAGATCACCGGCGAGGACGGATTCGTTTACACAAGTACGTGTTGCGTTACGATGTATTCTTTTTTTCTCTTTTTTTGCTTTTTTTCTTCCGCCGGACAACGACTGACGAATGGCTCGCATGGTCGTAGTTCGCAAGAAGGTGCGTTACGAAGACCCGAATGCGCCCACCTACGTCCGCATCCCGCCGCAGCCGATCACCCGATCGTGGTGTAAAACGATCGCGCCCTTCTCGAAGCCCACCGACGATCCCATCGGCAGCACGTACGCCATTGCACATGCTGGATTGATACCAACCACCAACAGCTATGGCTTATCAGCTATGGCGCCATCGGTCTGACGCACTTTTCCGCCGTGGCCTGTGTTAACAGGTACCTTGAGGGCGACATCCTCAAGATGGAGCTGAAGAACTACGGCGAATTCGAGGCCATCCTGATGGACCCGCCGTGGCACACGGGCGCCAAGGACGACCCCGCTCGCTTGCCGGGCACGGTCACGCCAGAAGAGCTGGTACCGGGAGGACCTTCCTCAGCCTTCTCCGATCGGTGAGTCACAGAGCAAACCGGCTAACGACGCGTCGTACGTGGTGCGTGATCAGGGCAAGCTGAAGATCACAGACGCGCTGCTGCCTAAAGGTCTGGCGTTTGTGTGGGTGGAGAAGGAACTCATCCCCAAGGTTCATTGCGTTTTCTTTTGCGCTGTGAATGTCGCACGTGTGCGTACGCGTGTCGTGTCGTGTGCGATGGCGCGTGCATCTGAGTCGGAGTGTTGAATGGTTTGCCAGGTGTTCGCGCTGATGAAGAAGTGGAACTTCATCTACGTGGAAAACTTTGCCTGGGTGAAGAAGTCCGTGAACAACAAGTTCGTCTCACAGCCCTACAAATACTTCCAAAAGTCGAAGACCACCTTGTTCATCTTCCGCAAGTTCACCGCCGAGGGCAAGGTGCCATTTTCTTTCTCTGCTTTGCGCCTGCTCCGCGGTCTAAAACGCTCTGTAACAGGACCAGCTCGAATTGAGGCATCAACGAAATCCGGATGTGGTGTTTGACTACATTAAGAAAAAAGATGGTACTCATTCCACCTTACCTTGTGTGTGTTGTGTTCTCATGTTCTTCTTTTCTCTTTTTTCAGGTTTGGTCGAGGAGAAGCCCGATTTCACGTATCATGTCATCGAGACACTGCTCCCCAACGCCGCCTACAAAGAAGATGCTGGGCGCGGCAAGTTGCTTGAACTGTACGTAGACATGCTCCTTTGCCCCCATATCTCTATTGAGTTACCTTGTTTCAGTTCCGGCCCATTCCATATTAGCATATATCCCAACATGTTCCTACATTCGAATTCATAACATGTAGTCGCAACCTCTCATTGCACTTTAAGGGCAAACCCTGTCCTATTGTGATGTCTGTTTTTCCCTATCGGTCACTTTTGTTTTATTTGTTTCATTAATTCTACATGTGTGTGCGTTTGTGGCCGATGCCTACCTACACAGCTGGGGCAGGGCGGGCAGCCAGCGGAGAACTGGATGGACCACGATTGTACAAAAGCCTTGACCCGGTTAGCCCACCAACCAACAAGGCACCAAAGCTCGAGAAAGAAGAACCTAGGTTCCCTTTCCATCTGCTCTCTCTTGGAGAGTCAATCTTGTTGGCCTGCTCTTTTCCAGACATTGTCCACCATCACTCTGTAGCTGTTTTTTTTTTTTTTTTTTTTTTTTGTTGAAGATTGGCTTCGTTAGGGAAGGGCCACGCCTGCCCCAGGTGGAAACCAAAACAGTGAATGGAAAGAGCACGAGTGAACTCGTTTTCGCTGCGCCCACGGTACTGGGCATTCAAACCGTCATTGTTACACCGCAAGCAGCTCACGCCAAAGTTAATACTCACACAACACACGCCTGGAGAGCATCTCGGTAATGGATGACGAGAGAGAATTGAAGGATCGGCGCTATTCGCTCTACTTCCTCCTCAACAGCGACGAGGAGCAACTACCGCTCGATTCGTGCCGGTGCGGAGACCTCGCCTCATCCTCATTTCCCTCTTCTCCTGTATACTCGTGGTCATCGTCTTCGCCGGCCTCCCGATCTCAAAGCGTGTCACCCACTCCGACGACGGCTGCGTCCACCTCCACGACGGCCTTTGCTCCTCCGCGGAGCTGCTTCCAGCAGGACTGGGGCTCGTCGCAGCCCTACTACTACCACACGTACCAGTCTGGCGGCACCTCGACGGTCGATGAAGTGGTGACCCAGCCTTGCAGGGACAAGAGCCTGCTCCAGTTCAAAGAGAAGATCGAGTCTGCTCTCAAGTCACAACATCATCACCGTCGCACCCAAGAAAGCTCCTCGCCTTCCCCCAACAACAACAACGTGAACGACAACGCTGAGCGACCTCGACCATCGGCATCGTCATCACGTCGCTCGCGTCAGCGCTCACCCTCCACCTCCTCCGCCATACCACCCGCCTACTCCCTCAGCTCACCGACTGCATTGCCCCACTTGCCGGGCCAGTCGTCCTTCCTCTACTGCAGGAAGAAGATCACTCGCAAGCAGTCCAAGAAGCGACTGACGCCCGAGCGGCGCACCGTGTTCTACAACTGCCGAGTGTTCGAAGACGGTCGCCAGCTCCACTACACGCGGGACAACAAGGTTCTGCCGCGCGTGCCAAGCTCCTCCTCGTCGTCATCCAGCTCGAGGACCACCACTGACTTCGCCAGGCACCAGGCCCTGAGACGCACTGGAGGTGTCTGTCCACCATCTCCCTAATCAATCACGCTTCATTCCACATTTCGAAACCAGTTACGTGCCAGTACCTTTTCCTGTCGTCCCTATCTATTCCGTTCCTTCCTAAACCAGGACGACCATGGAACGGCCCAAGGTGGTGACATTTCTTTTTATATATCCAGGAATATCTTTTTCTTTTTCTTCTTCACTTGCAAAGCTGGTTTCTTTTTGTTTTTCTTTTTGCTGGGGGGGGGTGGAAAAGGGAAGAGAGAAACGCCGGCGAGCGAAGGTCGCATTGATCGATCGAGTCTCTTTGGACGCTTTGGCAGAGATTGGCAAATGGCTTCCTATCAGTGGTTCCCCAAGGAGAGGGACTACGAGGCCGAGAGGGTTGAGAATGCGCTGGCTCGCACCCTGTCGACGGCGAATCATCCACTCAAGCCCAATTCGAAAAATGAGAACGAGGAGGCCGCCAATGCGAGCCCCTTGCATGCCTCACAGAATGGCTCTTCAGGAAGCGTCTCGACCAAGCGTGTCACATCGACCTTCATCGATCCGCTCTCTGCCGGGGACCCATTGAGCGCCCCACAGCCCACCCCCTCGTCCAATATCACAACCATGTACGAATCGGGCAGCATGACCCGATCAACGTCGTCGCCTCTCGTTGCGAGAAAGGCGTCCACCAAGAGGGGGCAATATTACGATCAGGAGGAAGATCCCACCTTCGTGCCCTGGTCCATGAAGAAGAAGGACATTCTCACTGTCTACACCACCGACGAGCAAGTGGGCATTCAGATGGTACTCCCCCTGCCTTCCCACAAATCCTCCTAATTCTCCTCTGCACTGTTGAGCTCATGCGCGATTTGGCGAACCGTGTAGAGCTTCATGGAGGAAACAGGCACCAGACGTACGTCTATTCTTTATTCTTTTATTCTTTATTCTTTATTGTGTTTATAATACTAATTATTATTGTTATATTTAATGATCTTTTTGATTACCGTTTGCTGTAAGCGGAAGAGGGAGGTTAGGTGCACCTCTGGGCTGACTCTTGCTCGCCTTCTCCTCCTTCAGTGTCGGTGGCGGTCGACAAGCAAAAGCAGCGGCTCGAGGAGCTGGACGAGACCGACGAGGCGCTGGAAAAGCAGTACCTCAAGATCTCGCAGAAGGAGTACATCGCCCACATCGAGAAGTACGTGAGCCACGAGCCGCCACACAACTGCCGCCACCGCTTCCCTCGTCACCTCTTTCCTGGCGCTCACCTCTCCGCTCTCTTACCGCGGTGCAGACTGAACGAAGAGCTGCGTCGTGCGTGGGAAAACGAGGAGCGAGTGAAGACCCTCAAGATCGCCATTCAGGTTCGTGCAGCCTGACTTATTTATTAATATAAGAAAATGTTATCTTTCATTATCTGCTGTTGGTGCTTACGCGTGGCCCACACAACGACACGACACGACACGACAGTGCGCCAAGGTCCTGGGCGACATCTCGGTGATCAAGTTCTACCCGTCCAAGTGGACCATCTGTACCGAGATCCTGGACACCTTTGGCAAGCTCGTCTACGAGCGCATCTGGGAGCGGGCGTCGCAGCACAACCCCTCCACGGGCCAAACCACCTATCTTCCGGGTACTTCTTGTCTTCGTGCTCCGCTCGCTGCTTCGTGCGTGCGTGTGTGTGCGTGTGTGTGTGTGTGTGGTGCTGTGTGTCTTGTGTGTGTGTGTGTGTGTGTGGTGCTAATGTGGCGGGTCTGAATGCAGATAACTTCTCGCCCAAGGACGTGCCGGAGGTGGCGAGGGAGACGTGCCGCAACTGGTTCTTCAAGATCGCCTCCATCCGCGAGCTGTTGCCGCGCATCTACGTGGAGATGGCCATCATCAAGTGCTACGCCTTCCTCTCCCAGAACTCCTACAGGTTCGTCTCGTTGCTTGCTTTCTGTGTGCGTGTGCAGTGTGTGCGGTGGTGCGTGTGCGGTGCGGCCTCATTTTTCTTTTTCGCGACTCGCAGGGAAGTGATCAACCGACTGTGCATGATGATCCGCGGCGTGGGCGACCCCCTCATCGCCATGTACCTGCGCGCCTATCTGGCGCGAAAGGGCCGGGAGATCGCACCCCAGCTCACCGAGCACCTCACCACCTCCTTCAACGACTACCTCTACACCCACCAGATCGTCACCCAGAGGTGCGTTAACCCCCCAACGCCACCACTGTCTGTCGCACCAGTTTGCGGCCGCGGAGCTGACAACATGGTGTAATGGGTGTGTGTCGCGGTCACAGGCCCGCCTTCCAGAAGATGCTCGACTCGCACAAGCTCGCGCTGTCCGACTATATTCACCTCTACTCGCCCGCCCTCGACTGGCTCCTGCAGTGCATCGCCCACAAGGCGCCCGTGGTACGCACACCCGCACCCAGTCTGGGCACTGACGCCTTCGGCTCTCGTCCTCACCTATTTCGTGTGTGCGCTGTGCGTGTGCGTTACCACGCTCGTGCAGGACGTGTTCCAAACCACGCTCGCCAAGTACAGGAAGAGCGGCAACTCGCTGGTGCTCAACCACATCATCTCCTCCTTCCCGCCGGACTACATCGCCGCCAACGCGCGCCCGATCGCCGCGCTCATCAAGGAGTCGGACGGCCTCTCGTACGCCAAGCACAAGCTCTACCACACCTTTGGCGTGTGCCTGGCCCTCGCCCCGGCTCCCCCGGAGAGCGAACGCTTGGTAGCCACCCCTCCCCCGCCGGCTCCCCGGTCTTTGCATTGCCGACATTGTTGCAATTCCACTGACCAACAAACAATGTGGCGTGTGCGTGCGTTGTGTCGTATGTGTAGGCGCTCCTCAATGACGTGTGGAAGGTGGTGGCCAAGTTCGAGGACGCCAAGGAGTACATCGCCGTGGCCGAAGTGTGGATCGAGTACCCGCTCAAGCACTGCACTGTACGCTGCACGCACGGCACACACGCACACACACGCACGCGCCCGAGAAGCACGACGTCTGACGGTGATGTGGTGGTGGTGATGGCGGTGGCGGCTCTCGACACAACCAGGCGAGCGAGACGAACAGGCTGATCCAGGACATCGTGGCGCACGCGAAGAAGGACAAGGCCTACGACTCCATCCAGCCGCAGCTCGCCTCCATCGTCCACAAGGTCCTCTCGAACTACCCGGACTTCACCGCCACCTTCACTACCATGGTACGCAGCACTCGCCCCGTCACACATGTGTGTCGTGTCGTGTGTCGTGTGTGTCGTGTCGTGTATGTGCGGTGGCGCTGATCAAGTACTCGTCTCTCTCAGAGCAACTTCCTGCCCCTCTTTGATCTGTTCACGAGCGCCACCCAAGTGGAGGTGAGCAAAGCCCTGCTCGAGGCCTTTGCCAAGAACAAGTCCGTCACCTCCGACCCTCTGCTCATCAACACTGTCTTCACCGCCGCCAAGGTACACTGCTTGATCCCCCCTCCCCCCTCTCTGTATTCACGCGTCGTGCCTCGTCCGTGACCACCGCCCGCGCGTGATCGTGCAGGCGCTGCACGACTCGGTCAACACCCTGTCGTTCTCCGACGAGGTCAGACAGATCGCCTCCCTCATCTCCGCGTTCATCACCAAGGTACCCACTGCGTGCGTGTGCCGTGTGTGCGGTATGTGCGGTATGCGCCTTACAATGGTGGCGGTGGTGGTGGTCCAGGTTGACTTTGGTCGGGAGGTGATCAAGCACCTCGACTTCTACGTGGAGTGCCGAAGGGCCTTCGCCAACCTGGACGGCGTCAAATCGACGCTCGTGCTCGGCGCCTGCAATCTGGCCATGCGCACCCTCAAGCTCACCCAGGGCAAGCACACCAAGAAGACCGCCGCCTTCGTCAGGGTGGGCATTCTACCCACCTCACATTCCTCGACACAACCCATGAATTGACGCGTGTGCGGTGTGTGTGTGCGGTTGTGTGTGTGCGGTCGTGTGCGTGCGTGTGTGCGACACAGGCGTGTGTTGCCTACACCTTCATCTCGATCCCCTCCATGGACGACCCCTTCGCCCAACTGTACCTATACATCTACGCCGGGCAGGTACGCTCCCCCTCTTCCACACGACCGACCCAATCGTCGCCGCAATCTGCAGCATCGCGCGCTAATTGGCTGTCGTGTGTGTGTGTCGGGTGTGTGTGTGCGTGCGTGGTAGGTGGCGTTGGCCAACCAATCGCTGCCGCAAGCCGACTCCCTCTTCAAGGCGGCCATCACGCTCGTCCAGGAGATCCCGCCCTACACAGAAACCATCGAGGCCGGCGGCAGCCGGTCCAACGAGACGTGGCTCCTCAACTTCATCAGCTACTTCGCCGCCGTGTTGGTGGCCGTCCCCGGCCACCCCGAGCAGGGCGCCTTCTACCTCGTCAAGGGCCTCATCAAGGCACGCAGTCCCCCCCCCTTTCCTCCTCCCGTCGCGTGTCCCCCCTAACACACAACACACACAACACACACAACAACACACAACACGCACACAACACGCACGCACGCACACAGGTCATTCAAGACTACCCGTGGGAGGCTGGAAGCATCAGCAAGTCGCTGGCCTACGTGTCCATCTTGGCCTACTTCAGCACCCAGGCGCAGATGGCCCTCCCCTACCACTTCCCCAAGGGTAACGCGCCCACTCCCTCGGCTGGTGATCCGATCCGTGGCGCTGGCGTGTGTGCGTCGCTGATGTGTCGTGTGTGTGTGTGTGTGTGGTGTGTGTCATCGTCCAGTGGACGCCAACGACGTGCTGTACGGAGGCGACGACGCGTTCAAGAAGGAGCAGCAGGCCATTATCGACCGATTGCTCGAGCTCATCCTCGAGCAGATGGCCGCCCTCAAGGCCGAAGCCACCCCTGCCGTACGCCGCTCCCCCCCTCCAGCGACTTGCGCCCACTGTTCATCAACTCACCTTCTTCTTCTTCATCATCGCCATCTTCAATCATCATCAGAGCGAGCGCAAGCAGAAGCAGCTGGCGTGCGCCCTGTTCGAGCACACAGTGCGCTTCGCGGGCCTCAACACCAAGTCGGCGTCGCTGGCCGCCAATCTGTTCAACATGGCCAAGAAGTGCGGCGCGACCCCGGGCGAGCTGCGGACCTACCTGGTCCCGCTCCGGTCGGCTCCGGCCTCGACCCCCGCCGCCGACCTCCACGCCAAGCTCGCCTCCAGCATCTCGTAGCCCTCTGTTTCATTTTTGTCGACTAATTGAATCGAGAAACGAAGAGAAAATGTTTTTCCTGTTTCAAGGAAGTGGCGAGATGAAGCGAATGACGAGATTATGCGAAAATGATCAGAAGAATGGGTTGGGGACATAAGGCTCGAGCGCACCAGGGCGCTGGGTGGAAGAACTACAACACAACCAAAACAATATCAAGAGATGAACCGAGTGGACATGAATGTGCAGACGCCGCCTGCGGGCTGGTGGCGGCTGGATGCAGAGCAAGAGGCAGCAGACAAGGATGTAAAAAAGAGTGAAGAGGAAGAAGTAGCGGCTAAGACGGAAGGAGATGATAAGGAGAAGGAGCGTGAAGACGCCGAGGCCGAAGCAGAGGAGGAGGAAGTGGCGGCTACCGAAGAATCGGCAGATTCGGGCGCAAAGGAGATCAGAAAGATGGAGCTGCACATCGGCAAGAAAGTGGCCTTCATCCTCTACAATGTTCTGTCGCCGGCCGAGTGCCGCCACCTCGTCGCCAAGACGGAGGAGATGGGCTACAAGCCGATGCCCGAGTACCCCACCTCCTACCGCAGCAACACGCGCCTCATCATCGACGACGAGGAGCTCCAGGAGGAGATCTGGCGGCGCGTGCAGCCCCACATCCCCGCCGAGTTCGAGGATCGACGCGGCAAGTGGCACCCCTACGGCCTCAACGCTCGGTGGCGCTTCTGCAGGTATTACTCGATTGAGTATTTTATTTCTTATTTATTTTATTTACTTATCCTTATTTGGTGAACTTTTTATTATTTATTCTTTTATTTATTTATGAATTATTTGTTGTGTGTGCGCAGGTATACCCCGGGCCAGCACTTCTCGTCCCACTGCGATGGTGCCTTCGAGCTCGGCGTCAGGGACAGGAGTCAGCTCACGTTCATGTTCTACTTGAACGGCGGCTTCGATGGCGGTACACGCTTCTTCTTCTTCTTCACCCGCACACATGCCGCACACGCACACACCGCACACACCGCACTCACGCTCATTCGCTTCGTCATCATCAGGTGCGACGGTGTTCCTGGAGGGCGGGCGGAAGGAGGTGCAGCCAGAGGCCGGCATGGTGCTCATCTTCCAGCACAACATCCTGCACGAGGGCCAGCGCCTGGCCACCGGCAAGAAGTACATCATGCGCAGCGACGTCATGTACCGCCGCGACGACCACCGCCCCATCTAAAACGTCTCTCTCTGTGTGTGTGCGGTCTGCGTGTGCGAGTGCGCGTGCGGCGCGTGCGATGTTTGTATAAATGCAGCCAATTGGCATTCGAGCTCTTACGGCGTGGTGGTGTTGATGGCGGCCGGCTGGTAGGGCTGGTAGTCCATGGCGCCGAGCAGGGCCGACAGGCTGGGCACGGCCGAGGTCATGGCGGCCAGGGCCTGTCGCGAGGCCAATGACGGCGGCGGCCCCCAGCGCGCGGCCGCGTAGGCCGCGAAGACCGACGGCCGCAGGGCCGAGGCCAGCGGCGACAGCAGCGCCACCGGGTCGAGGCTGCAGCGGGCGACGGCCGCTGCGAAGGTGGTGGCGGTGGAGGTCGGCTGCGGCCGACTCGGGGGTAGGCCTACGTGGTCGGTGGGTAGAACGACGCGGGTGAGGTGAGCTGCGACGGCGGAGGAGAAGCTGTGGTTGTGGTGGTTGTGGTGTCGGCTGCCTGCCACCTGGACTACTGGGAGTGCATCAGCGCAGTCCTGCCTGCTGACCATGTGCATGCCACTGAGGTTCGTCTTGAGTAGATTGTGCTGCTTCTCTGGGGTGGTTGTAGTGCGACCCGGTTGCAGCTGAATCCCTAATATGGAAGATAACCCATGATGGCATGTTGTCAAATTGTTGTGGACATGGCCCACATCACATGCTGAATGCAGTACAACAATGCATTGGTTGAATGGGTTACATTGGAATTGTTTGCAGCGTAGAGCGAAAACAAAAGCAAAAAAAGAGGAGGGAGTGCTTAGTGGCCCGGAGGGAACGGGTTGTCCTGCTCGAGCTGGAGGTTGGCAAAGGTGTGGTTGACCTCCCTGTGGTGCGCTTCGTCGGCTCTGATCAACGCCACCACGTCCCTCCACTTGGCATCATCACCCTAACACAGCAGAGAAGAAGCACACGTTGATCAACATCACTGTTCCTTAGCTTCTTCTTGTTGTTGTTGTTGTTGTTGAATGGAATCATCGTACCATCTTCCAGTATTGGCGGGCGATCTCCGGGGCGGGAGTGTCCTTCCACTCGGGCAGCTTCCCGGCGTCGAGGTCGTGGAGCAGGTGGGTGTAGGTCCTCACCGCCTCCTCTTCGAGATAGCCCACGAATCGATGACAGAACCTGCGCAGACCGCACGACACACACATGACACACGACACACACATGACACACACGTGACGTCAGCTTTGTGTGTGCGTGCGGTGATGACGACGATGAGGCGGGCGGTTACCGCGGGGAGACGAGGTAGGCGGCGAAGAAGAAGTTGAAGAAGATGCCCTGAGTGACCCACACGGCGGTCCTGAAGATCTTGCCGGGCTGCTTGAGCTTGAGCCCCGTCAACAGGTGCATGCGCTCGTTCTCGGCCTCCTCCTGCAGAGCGTTACCGCCGCACACGCACACGATCGATGGTTAGTCACACATCGCACACGCGCGTGCGCACACACGACACAACACACGTGCGTACCAGGAGAGTGTGGATCCAGCCGTGGTCCCTCTTCAGGCGGCGCAGCGAGTGGAGGTGCCTCAGGATGGCGGCCACGGAGCCGGGCACGCCCGCCACGGTCTCGAGGAAGATGATTCGACGCAGCCAGTCGGCCTCCGTCAGCTTGCCCCACGAGTACCCGCTCATCCAGTCAAAGTTGAATCTGTGTGTGTCGTGTGTGTCGTGTGTGTCGTGTGTGTCGTGTGTGTCGTGTGTGTCGTGTGTGTCGTGTGTGTCGTGTGTGTCGTGTGTGTCGTGTGTGTCGTGTGTGTCGTGTGTGTCGTTGAGAACAGCAGCAACAGCAGCAATATGAAGCAAAAGATGGAGGCGTACCTCATGAGACGCACGGTGTTGAGGGCGAGCTTGTCGGTGAGGTTCTCAGGCGGCGTGTGGTTGATCTCCACCGCATCTACGTACTCGTTCTGCCAAATGGGGTGCGGCAGGGTGTAGGCCACCCTCGTCGATTTGCCACTGCAGCGCGTAAGCGGTCGAGTAGTGGTCGAGGTGAGTAGTGCTCTCTTCATCTTCATCTTCTTCATCTTCTTGTTCTACTCAAGTAAAATGCAAAATGTAAAATGTAGAGGGGAGGTGTGAGTGTGAATAGCAACCTTTGCTGCTGGGCGCGCTCGACGGTCTGCTGGGCGGCGATGGAGGGGTTGGAGGCCGCGGCCTTCTTCTCCTCCTGGGTCTGCTTGGGCTCGCCGTCGGTCATGGCGGCCGACGTGGTGTTGGCCCGCGACCAGGCCAGTGCTCCTCCCTGGCACCACCTGCCGCGAGTGGTCATGGTGGTCGCGGTGGCCGACGAGGTCCGCGAGGTGGTGGTAGGGGCGAGGCGAAGGGAGAGGTGGCGCCTGGCCTGGACTAGGGTCGAGGCCCGTACGCCGCCATTGCCGGAGGCGAGGGAGGAGGCAGTGGTAGTAGCAAGCCGGGCAAAGGCGTCACGGCCGCCGCCACGCAGGCTGGCTATTCTCTGAGAACAGTGCTGCTTCATGTGCGAGTTCGTGCGTTGGGTTGTTACTGTTGCTGGCTTGTTTGTCCAGCGGTAGATGTAGTTTTCATCATTTGTTGGCCTGTTGGTGCGGGGAGTTTAAAAGGTTTCGCCGACCACTCCCGACGAGCCACTCAGATCTCAGTTTCGTTCAACGGAAAATTCAGTTTTCGTGAACATACTTCAAATACCCTGGTTCAGTACGGTGCAGGACCAAGGAAAAACAAATATTTGAAATATGCGCGCCTGCGAACCAAGACGGAATGCGTTGTTTGGCTCTTGGGACATGGTGGGCTTTCTGGGCTTGGGGCTCAGCTTCGGCGCCACAATACCGGGAAAGCCGGGCCGACAAACAAGTCCTGATGGGGAATAAGGTGAGGTTGTGCGTTGGGATTCCAGATACCCCGATCAACACACAACAACGTACGCCCTCCTGGAGGTTGGGTCCCAAGTCGCGCACGTTGGAGTGCCAGCCACGCCCCGACTGAAAGCCCACATGCTCCGATTGCATGTGCACTGCGACATTGAAAATGAAAGTAGATAGGGACATCATCAGCATCACCAGCTCGCTTCGGTCCATGGAAGTAGTAGACACGAACCCGCAATGGCGTAGCGCGTCTGGTGCGTCGTGTTGGGTCCTGAGCCGTGGATGGTCAAGGCGTGATGGAATGCCACCTTGATGAAAAGGTGAGTCTTGCAGAAGAAGACCAGGTGCCAAGAAGGGTGGTCGTACCTGTCCGGCCTTCATGATGGAGGGCTCATCGCTCCACTGGTCGCCGAAGGCGGAGAACTTGGCTTGGAGGGAGTCGAGGTCTTTCTCGAAGAAGGTGGCCGAGTCCGGCAGCAAGCCCCACTTGTGTGAGCCCGTGATCGTACGCAGACCGCCTGTTGCAAAATATATTCAAGATATATTTCTAAACAGTTAATCTAATATATATATATATATATGTTGGTGAATAAGCAGGTACCATTGGACAGGTCGGTGTCCTGCAGGGCGATCCAAGCGGTGATCATCGACGAGCTGTTGGAGACTTGCCAGAACCCATAGTCCTGCACACTCACACGTCCGGTGTGAGCGCGATTGTGTGGGCAGCGAGGGAGCAGGTTTTGAACGCACCTGATGCCAACCGATGTTGCCGGCCTTCTCGCTGTGGCCGTCGGGACCCAGGCCCGGTTTGGCGATGACCTGGTCGTGCCACAGCCTGATCTCGTTCGTTCTCAGCAGCTTGGCGGCCGCCTCGCCGATGGCGGGCGAAAGAACCACCTTCTTCACCGCGTC